GAGCCTTAACCTCACCGGTAACCTCCTGGACGCCTTCCCTGCCGAGCTCTTCCGCCCCGGATCGCTGCCGCTGCTCAGCGAGCTGGCAGCCGCTGACAACCACCTAAGGGAGCTGAGCCCCGACATCGCGCACCTGGCCTCGCTCAAGGTCAGCTGGGGCCGGCCCGGGCGGGATGGGGAGCCCTCTGGGCTTCGGGGTGCTGGGCCCTAGAACGTCTGTGCCCAGCGTAACCAGGGGTCCCTGAACTCCTTTGCTGATTTGTAGCTGTTAGCAAACTTGGCTTCCACCTTGTTTAGAATAAGGACTAGGGACGACCTATATTTTATCTCGAATTTTAGTATTTGTGAACTGAGGGAAGGAGCCTTGAAGCAGTGGAGTTTGCGTGATCCCATGTGATAGGTTCCTGGTCAGCGTTTTCGCTGCCTTCTCAGAAGGTTGAGGTGGCTTTTGGTGTTCCACAGTCAGCACTTTGGGTTTCCCCCTGGCCTACATCCTGGACATCCCCAGGTCATGGCTTAGGGCCAGTGGGCGCCCATTAAATCTGTTGGGTGAGTCATGGGAGGAGCTGCGTCCTGACTCAGTGTTCCTTCTGGACCACCCTTAGCAAGGCAGCCCTGCTCACCCCATGTGAACATTTCATAATTAAAAAGTATGCAGTTCAGCAACTGAATTTGCTGCACAAGTTACTCATGAGATACAGCATCTGATTTCGTGCAAATGTTTACATAAATTCTGTTTGTGTAAGAGTTTGTGTTTGTAGTTGGGAGTAGACAAGGTAGTGCTGAATGACGCCTACCGCTCTGTCCTGGAAGAGGCCATGGGGTGTGGCCGTGGGTACCTCGGGCTTCTGGGGCTTTTGTGTGACAAGTGACATAGACACTGTCTGCACTGCCATCTCATCTGGTGGCTACTTGTTTTCCAGAAGTTTGATGGGCCAGGTGTGCACCTTAACACAGTGGCTCACGTGGTACATGTGGCAGTTACACGTTTTTCCCTGATGCAGATGCCCATGCTGACCCAGCCAGCAGATCAGCTCTTGCCGCTGGTCACTTGGGTGGCTGCGTTCAGCTGGCTGTGGGCTGAGTGGGGCTGGCTGGCTGCTGTCTGCATTTCATCTCGCCTCCTCCCCTCCTCACCTGGCAGCTCAGAGCTCCTCAGCATGGAGGCAGCAGCTGCCAGGCCCAAAGGTCTGGAGCTAGCGTGCTGCACCTCACCACATTCTGCTGCTTAAACGAGTGGAGAAAGTGCAGTCCAGACTCACTGGATGCACTGACAAGGCTGTGGACAGCAGGAGGCTGGCTTGCTCAGGGACCAGAGTAACAGCACGAAGGCCTCTGCCTGTCCACTCACCTCTCAGAGCAGATAGACTGCAAGTGCCTGGGCCCACTCACCAGGGGCTGCCAGCAGGCTTAGCTTAGAACTGTGAAAGATGAAGTCCTGATCTGTCACCAGTGGGCACAAGGAACTGAGAGCTTACTGGCTTTTCCCTGCCATTGGGCTTGGCTTTGTCACCCTGGCCTCAGGTCAGTTTATCCTGCTACCCTCTGAGAGCACCTGGGCCGTCCTTTGTCCTCTTCCTGGGGTTGTCTGACTCTGTGGGCATGTGTGTTGTGTCACTCCTGCCTGCACCCAAAGTAGCCAATGTGCAGGCTCAGGCTGCTGTCCATCTGGAACTTCTGAAGTGGCCAGGGCAGCCCCTTAGCTGGCAGAGGCTATCAGGATTTTTTCCTCAGCCCCAGGACTGGCCCTTGCCTGTAGCTCACATAGGGACTGCTCCTGTGGTTGTGCTCCATGGAGAAATTCAACTTCCTTTTTTTTTTTTTTTTTT